ATGAATAAAACTACGGGGGGGATTGACCCCTCTCCACCCCCTCAGCAGCAGCAGCCTGTAGGTCAAACAGCAGCAGCAGCAGCAGCAGCAGACGAAGCAGCAGCAGCAGCAGAAGGAGAGCAAGCAACAGCAGCAGCAGAAGCAGAAGCAGCAGCAGAAGCAGCAGCAGGAGCAGCAGCAGAAGCTAAAACAGGGGAAACATTCGCAGGTGCACTAGCGGAGTTAGCAGTGCCTATACTCCCTACAGCAGCAGACGAAGCAGCTGTTGCTGCTGCAGCAGAAGCAGCAGAAGCAGCAGAAGCAGCAGCAGCAGAAGAAGAAGAAGCAGCAGCAGCAGCAACAGCAGCAGGAGTGACTCTAGCAGCAGCATATCCTGCTGCAGGTGTATTAGATTCTTCATTTGATGCTGCGCCTGCAGCAGCAGCAGCAGAAGCAGGTGCTGCTGCTGCTGCTGCTGCTGCTGCTGCAACAGAAGCATCAAGAGAAGTATCAGGAGAACCAGGAGAAGCAGCAGCAGTGTCTGCTGGAGCAGCAGCGTCTGCAGCAGCAGCAGCAGATGCAGCAGCAGGAGAACCAGCAGCAGCAGCAACAGCAGCAACCAGTACCCCAGCAGCATCATCATTAGATACATTAGGACCATCAGCAGCACGACTATCTCCATCTACAGCAGCAGCAGCAGCAACAGGAGCAGCAGCAGCAGAAGGGGGACATAGACCGTATGGTGTGTATAAGAGGGGACATTGTGTTGCTGCTGCTGCTGCTGGTCCTTCTTTGCTGCTGCCTCGATCCCCTGGGATCCGATCCCGATCCACGTCTCCTAGTCCTTCTTCCTTAAGGAGACGCAGGGACCCCACACACAGCAGCAGCAGCAGCAGCAGCAGCAGCAGCAGCAGCAATGTATGTAAGATTAATGTGGGGCCCAAGTACCAAGTACCCTACTTACCTGATTTCTTCTTAGCAGCAACAGAACCTTATGGAGGGGGGCCCCCCTGTACCCTAGAAGGGGGGGGCCCCTGTACCCTTCTTGGGGGGCCCCCCTTAGAGGAATTAGAAGAGGAGGGGCCCCATGCACCAAAACTGGTTTACTCTGCTAGGGAATTGTTGCGTGCTGCTGCTGCTCGTTCTGCTGCTGCTGCTGCAGCAGCAGGAGAAGGAACAACATCAGCAGCAGGAGGAGCAGCAGCAGAAGGAGGCGAGGAGGGAGCAGCAGCAGCAGCAGCAGCAGCAGCAGAATACGTAATAAGTACAGAGGAGGAATTATCGATATATTTACAGCATGCAGCAGCAAGTTGGGGGGGCCCCCTCCGAGGGGCCCCTGATGGGGCCCCCCCTCCTGCTGGTACGCCTGGGGGCCCTGGGGGCCCCCCTATACCACCATTTTCTCCAGATTTCGCGCTGCAGCTGCTGCATGCAGCAAACTATGATGCTGCTGCTGCGCTGCGGCTGCTAAGAGACAGCAGCTGCTGCTGGGTGTCTCTTTGTGATGTACCAAGGAGACAGTATAATAATAAATGGAGACCAAGGGACAGAAGAGGGACTGTATCTAATAGTCCCTTCCCTTCTCCTTATATACTTAAAGGGTATACTGCTGCTGCAGCAAGACATTGCATGCAGGAGCAGCAACAGCAGAAGCAGCAGCAGCAACAGCAACAGCAGCAACAGCAGCAACATCATAGGAGACACCATAGGGACTGTCTCTAAATTGTCAGTTCCCTTCTCCTTATATACTTAAGGGATATGCTGCAGCTGCAGCAAGGCATTGCATGCAGGAGCAGCAGCAGCAGCAGCAGCAACAGCAGCAGCAGCAACAGCAACAGCAGCAACAACCGCAGCGAACACTCCATAGGGACTGTCTCTAATAGTCCCTTTCTTTAACCCCACATATTTTTAAGGCTTATACTGCTGCTGCAGCAAAGCAGTGCATGCAGCAGCAGCAGCAGCAGCAGCGGAAGCAACAGCAACAGCAGCAGCTGCTGCTGCTGTTGCTGTTGCTGCAGCAGAGGAGACACCACAGGGACTGTCTCCAACATTCCCTTCCGCCCCCTTAAATCCTTATTTATGTTTAAAAGAGACAAAAATAAACATAAACCCTTGTTTATTTTATATATAAAAAAACCCTAAACCCTAAACCCTAAACCCTAAACCCTAAACCCTAAATTGGGAATTGTAAAGAAAAAAAAGGAGACACCTAAAAAGGCTTCTTTTTATCTACAAATAAAGAAATAAAAATAAAAAATAAATTATAATTCGTCGTCTTAATTAAACCCCCCTTATGTTTAGGGTTTAGGGTTTAGGGTTTAGGGTTTAGGGTTTAGAAGTTTGTAAATACAGTAAGGGGACAAGCACGCTCGAAAGGATATTCTTATGGGTATTGCTTAGATGGTAGTTTTATCAAGGGTTTAGTGTTTAGGGTTTAGGGTTTAGGGTTTAGGGTTTAGGGTTTAGGGTTTAGGGTTTAGGGTTTTGTTGCTGCTTTTCTTGTTCGTTTTTTTTAATTTTT